AATTATATATATATATATATATATATATATATATAATGATTTATGAGCCAAATAATAATAACACAAAAAGCTTAAATTGTCACGTGCTTCATGCATGTTTTGTAATTTCTCAAACCATTTATTCTCATGTCTTCATTTCTTAGTAGTCTCCTCCTTAAATAGGAGAAAAACTGAAGGAGAAAATGCTTTGAAATAATTTGTTTGATGTGAGACTTCACAAGTAATAGAAATAGAAAGGTGGCACTGAAAGAGATGTGAGACTTGAGTTTTTATCATAATTAAATTGTTGATTTTAATTGAGAAAATTATTTTTTATCGATGATATGTTGAATATTGTCTAAATATAAGTTCTAATAATGACAAACTTTTGGTTTCAAATTTTAATACAAAAGCAATGCAAGTGTTAACAAGTTTGTTCAACTATTTCATAAGATTGTCTAAACTTAGCAATTTAAAAGCTTTACAAGACGTTAATCAATCTATTTAAATTGTCATTTAGCACCAAGAGTCTTGTCTGTCCTAAGCAATAAGATTAGCATACTGTGTCTCTATTCAAAGAGGTTCAAGTTAATCATTTCCTCTCAAGGGAAGTGACTTGAAAACTTAGCTTAGATGATTGACACTTTGAGCCATTTATCAGAAGGTTTCAATTAAAACACAATTTCTCAGAAAACTTATATTAAAGACTCTGCTCAAAAGGTTTGAAGAGAAGATCTACTTAAAAGGTATCTCATCTAAAGAAAAAAAAAATCTGATAGTACTAAAAAAGACAAAGTACGATGATGTTAGCTTTGCTTAAAACCTAAGCTAGCCACAACAGATCTATTTTAGTGGTTATAAACGGAAGATTAAAGCTATATTTTGGAAGCAAGCAAGATTAAAGAGAGAAATTAAAATACAAGATGTCAAGTTGTAATCCTTGCTTCATGCTTTGATTCATTAAGAGATCTCCACATCTATATTCTGTATCATTCTTGTAATAGAAAAAGAAGCATGAATCTTCCTTAGTGGAAGATCCATTATAGGAGAACTTGCTATAATATTAACTGTGTGCAAGGTAACAAAATTCATCACTATAAAACCTTTCCTACCTAGATCTAAGTGTGTTGAGGTGTAGGAAGGTAGAAAGGAATTACAACAATGACTGTGTAATCTCATAAGAGGTGGTTATGAGATTGTTTTTTTCAACAAGTTGTTGAGTGTGAAAATCTTAGCAAATGACTAAGTGTGTATCACTAACAGTAGGTGGTTGTGTCATGGAGTTCTTCTATCAACAAGTGGTTGAGTTGTTCTTGAACAGTAGTTGGTTGTAATAGTGAAAATCCCATAAATTTGTGCGAGGACTAGACATAGCACAAATTAGGGGTGAATCAGTATAAAAAATTTGTGTGCAATCTATCTAACTCTATCTCTTTCTTTTATTTTATTGCATCTTGTATTCTATTACTACATAATTTGTTGTGAAAACAAGTTAACTCAAACTATTTTTAAAAGAATACTCTAAGCTTAAATACGTACTTAGAAGTTTACCCCTTTTGAGGAATAGAGTTCCATGAAGAATTGAATCTTAAAAGAACAAAACAATTTAATTCCCTTCTTATAGTCTAACATTCACTTTATGATAGACACATGAGTTATAAATATTACATAATTATTATATTTTACTTATTATTCTATTAATAATTATCAAAATTTATTAATGAAATAAATAATTTTCCTCATTAATTTATTACTAATTAAAAAATTATTAATTTATTACTAAATTTATATCTATTAATTTAATAGTAATTATTAAAATTATAACCAATTAATATATTTTACATGTTAATTTATTTCTATTTATTATATTTATCAATAAAAATTAAAACTTTTACTTATTATTTTATTATTAATTAATAAACATTTACTAATCATATGAATAAATTAAGTTTAACTAAATTAGAGAAATTATTTAAAAAAAACTAAATTAGACAAATGTTAAGAACATTTACTTTTAAACACACTCTTCTTTAAGATCTGACCAAGAACAACAAACACATGATAATCAAGAGTGACATAGGATTCTGTCCCTAGCATGAAGGCACAACACACTAACCAAGAGTGGTAGAGGATTTTGTCACTAATCATGTCAAAAAATTGATTTTGATCTCAATTTCCATTATGAAATTCTCATAAATAAAAAGAAAAAAAATTACAACCATTAACTAAAATCATTTTAATACCTTATTAACCTCCTAAATAAGAGAATATATACCATAGATATATTCAATGAAATCCAAGTTTATACACAATAAAGAGAAAAGAAATCTGACTAAAAATGGAAACCAATCACAATAGATATTCTGAGTAACACTTTCACCTGATATGAATGCTCAATAACTTGATATATCCCACATTGAAAGCTGTCGCCTTAACATTTTCTTGCCTCTGTTTCCTATCTTGCGTCTAACATTGTGATGGATAGTTCATTAATCGAGCGTAGTTTGTGATTTTCTGGTGAAGAATTAACTTCAGATGTAACATCTGTTTCTGTGTAGAAGCCAGGAACCTTTGGCTTGGACAATAAATATTTATCACCATTCAATATTAAAACCACTGTTGACATGTCTGGCCTATCTTCTGGTCTTTGTTGCACACATAATAGGCCTACTTGTATGCATCGTAAGACTTCTAAAGGCTCACACTGCTGTCCCAACACATCATCTAGTAGATCCAACGCCCTCTCTTCGGTCCATAATCTCCATGCCTGTGATGGTGAGGATTAATTAAAATACGTTGGAAATAATTCTTCAAACAGATTAATAACTCAGTCACATAGGTATGTGCTTACATGTCCTAAAAGATTATTGTAGTGTCCTGGGTCTGAAAATTCTCTATTTTTCTTTCCACTTAAAATCTCTAATATTATCACACCATAACTAAAGACATCTGATTTCACGGAAAAATGTCCACGTGTTGCATATTCAGGAGGCATGTAACCACTGAAAAATTAAAATTTCAAATGTAAAATAACTAAACTTGACAGCACAATATCAAAGAATTATAATCAAATAGATACTAACTAGGTTCCAGCCACCCTATTTGTGTTAGCTTCAACTTGATCTCCCAAAAATGATCGAGCCAAGCCAAAGTCTGAAATTTTGGGATCCAAATTTTCATCTAGTAAAATATTACTAGTTTTAAGATCTCTGTGAATAATCCTCAACCTTGAATCTTGATGAAGATACAAAAGTCCTCGAGCAATACCATTAATAATGTTGAATCGCTTATGCCAATCTAGGATCTTCCTTTTGGTTTCATCTAGTAAAAAATACACAAGTATTTAGCATAGCAGCTGCAATCTCCACAATTTCATTAACTCTTAATAAGAAATAAGAAGATTGCCATAACGCCATAGGGTTGGAAGAGATATTAGGGGTCTATGTGTCTAACCAAAAACAAAGTAATCCAAACTTCCGTTGGACATGTATTCATATATCAACATTTTTTCTTCTCCTTCAATGCAACAACCAAGAAGTTTTACAAGATTACGGTGCTGAAGTTTTGCAATCAACGCCACTTCATTTTTTAACTCATCCAACCCCTGTTCAGATTTCTTTGAAAGCCTTTTCACAGCTATCTCTTTCCCATCTATCAATGTGCCCTGAAAAATAATCTTCCGCTATAGTAAGAATTAAGAAACATAGATTGTTTTTAAGGAAACCATAAGTTCTAGATATCAGTTTTAATTTCTTTATCACCTTGTATACTGGTCCAAATCCACCTTCTCCAAGCATGTTTTTAGTTGAAAAGTTTTCAGTTGCATTAGCTAAGACTAAAAAATCAAAAGTCGGGAAATCAATGTCTTCCTTCTTCAATATACTTCTGTAATGCTTGTTGTAAATTTTTCTTGCAGCCCCTGATTGGTTAGAAAATAACAGCATATAAACATGGACACATAATACGCGTTTTTGTGCCTAATTGCTTTTATTAGATCGTAAATTATGTCTACATACTTACCTGGATTTTTATATATAAATATGCCTGCACATATGATTATTAATCCAGAAACAGTTACACCAACAGTGATTCCGACTATCTTTTTCTTGATGTTTCCATGGCCAGCATCATCTAAAAGGAAATGAGCATAATTAGTCACCAACTTTAAAATAAACAGCTCTGCCTGGAACTGAGAGAAAGACTAATACATGCCATATAATAAATAACATGCATTTCTAATAATTTTCCATGCTATTGTCAGAAAAATCTTGCAACTCATATATCTTCGTTTTAATTTTTGCCTCCACTTGGGCATGCTTTTCAAGGTGCAAAAATAGAATGTTTGTTTAGCTCACCATTGAATGTTCTCAATTCTCATTGCCTTACCCCACTCCACCTTTTCTCTTAGAATGATGCAATATACAAGTAATCAAAGGAAAAGAGAGCAAAGTAATCAAAGGCAAATATTAAAATAAATAAAAATTTGAGTACCTAATTCTGAAGCAGGGACTCTGATATAAAGGTCTTGCCCCGATTGAGAAAAATTTCTCAAGTCAACTAGAGTATTAAACCAAAGTAAACAGCCACTTCCTCCATCACGGATATCTAAGTTGGCATATGCTGTACAAGAACAGTTTTCAAGACATGACTTCTCACATTCATCAAGGTCCATGGTCTTACTAAACCATGATGAAGATGTGTCCGGCCATTTCATGTGTGAGTACTTGAAGAAGCCATCGGTATAACTGTTATTGCAACTAGATTTATTCCTTGGAACACAACCATTGATCCAAATTGACATATTCCACTGATCAGGAGACTTGGGAACATAACTTCTCAGGCATTCACAAGTTGGATGGTTACCATCATAATTGCATATAGAATTGTCACCACAAAAGGCATAATTCTCACATTGATCTTGCTCCTGAGTTGAGAGGACTGGCCTGGTGGATGTTTGAGTTGTCCAATCAATTTTCTGCCCAGTGCCTGAAGGGGTGAGTTTAAATATGCTGAAGTCCGAACTGTCAAGAACCTTATACTCATAATACACCTCTTTTTCATTGAAAACAAAATTTTGCAAACTCTGATCGCTTGTAACAGGATATCCAGCCCAAGATTGGCCATTCCATGGCCCTATTCTGACTTTTATCTCAGATCCGTTGAATATAATTATTTGAGGATATCCTCTAAGGTCAAGTTTTAGAGCATATTTTCCCTCAGCAGGATCGTTGTCACTATTCCAAGATGATATATATCTTTCTAGACCAGTCTCCAAGTTCCATCCAAGCTTCATTCCTGGGATCATTGTATCCCCAATTTCATCAAAACTTTGCCACAAGAAACTGTTAGTTTCTTGTCCATTTTTCACAACAAAATTTCCGGAATCCAAAAGATGAGCAGTTGGATTATTCCCTTCGTTGCTTGATATGTTGGAAGACCAAATAGTGTTGTTTGTAGCATTGAGAAGCACAAGAATCCCATTTTCATTGAGTTTGAGAACTCCTGATTTGTCATCAAGAGGTTTATTTCGGTTAGCCACCCATGGTTTTAAATTGCGGACCGCAACACGTGTTGCGGCCGCAATATTGCTGTTGCGGCCTTGTCCGCAACGGCATCGGACCGCAATTGCGATGATACTGGAAATCACACATTTTTCCGCAACGTAACGGTGTTGCATCCGCAACACATCTGCAATGTACCGCAATACATCCGCAATACGATAAATTGATACTATAATTTTAAAATAAATTAAATTATTCATTAAAATAATAGAATATTTTTAAAAAAAAGGAATTAAAATGTATAAATCCTTAAAAATAAAATATATATTGATAATTATAAATTTTTTATATTTAGTGAAAATAATTAATAATTTCACACCGCAACAGCCGCAATCCGCATCGCAATACCCGCAATACCCGCAACCGCAGTAACTGCAACCGCGACCGCAACCGCGACCGCAACCGCAATTTAAAACCATGCACCCACACCACTGTTAAAGGGGATACGTTTGTGTACCATATACCCAAGTATCGTCTTGTTGAATTTCCTGGACTGAAGAAACCCACTTCAACAACTCCACCTACTGATACCAAAGTTTGACCATCGCTGATATATTGACTCACTACTAATATCTCTGTTGAAGTGGAAGTTGTAGTCGTGTACGAGAATAATAAGAACCAAGTTGATAACATTGTGATGATATAGAAGCAAGGACTTGTAGTTTGCATCACATAAGCCACCATGATGATATCTTCCTCCCAGGAGCAAGGGAGAAGCAAAGGAATTTAAGGAGTGCCAAATGATTCGATAATTTTCTCTATAATTTCTTTTTAGATGGAAAAAATTAGAAAGAAAAAATAAAATATATTTTTTTAAAAAATTAAACTTAATTTATGTATAAGTTAATTTATAAAAATTCTCTCAAATATTTTTTAAAAAAATTATAAATTATTTTTTAATTTGTAGAAATTCTTGTTTTATTCATTTATTTTATTTTATTTATCTCAAAAAGTATTTTTAAAGAAGTTTATGATATATTTTTATATTACATTGTAGCATCATAGCATATAATGAGATATTGTAGTATATTTTTGAATATCGATCTAAAATTATTTTCAACAGAAAAATAAAAGTTTCAATATTAAAAAATCAAAAGATTATAAGTCTTTTTTTTATTTTTTTTTTATTTCAACCCTGCTTATAAGTTGGATAGGATTGCCCGTTGCCACCAAAGAGATCCTTCCAATACTAACATCCCTCACATAAAATTTATGCCGGCCTTAATAATGACGTATTTCGATAATGATGGATTAAAACACTGTTATTAACAGTTTTCATTTTTCACTTTACAAAGAAAGAAATAAACTTCGGATTTAAAACCTTGTGCTTACTATCTCGATCACTCACCATTATGGTTTTCATTTTGAAAAAAATTTATCAAGATCATGACAAAAGTAAAAATACTCACTACTAGGATTTATCTTATTACATGCGATTTTTTTTTTGAATTTTTCATAAAAATTTACGAGCAATGTTGTTCTTACAATTTTTTTTGCGAAATTTTATCTCTAGGTAATATCTTCGTAGATAATATGTTTTTGCGAATTTTAAAATTCGCAAAAAACTTTAATACGAAAAAAATTCGCTGAAAAGTTTTCTGCAAAAAAAAAATTTACAAGAAACTTTCCTGTAAAATTTATTGCGAACTTTTTTGTAAGAAAAAAATCAAAGAAATTACTATTCGGAAGTAATTTTTGTACAATTTCTGTTAATAATTCTTCAATTTTTAAATACTTACAATGAATTCATCTAAAACATGTAAATTATAGGTCTAACACTCAATCATACAAAATCAACTTGTAAGGTGAGTGTTGACCTAACTTATATATTCTTTAATTGTTTTATTTCTAATCGATGTGAGACTTGAGGTAAATCTTTTAATTCTTAAACTTATAAATTTATATATATATATATATATA